TGGTGTAGTGGTATCACGCCTGATTTGCATTCAGGAGGTCCCGGGATCAATCCCCGGTCCGTCCACTTTTGCATTGAACAAATTAATATATATATTTATTCTAATTAAAGCACATTTAATGCAATTATTAACGAGTATTAATAATTTATTTATATTATTTTATTGCGAATTCACGCCTTGCTCATCAATTCACCAACAGAAATCTGCAGTGGGGGTCCAGAAGGACGAAAGGAAAAGACTGTTGTCTGTCTTTTTTCTTCATTTATTTCCCCTCCTTTATTTATAAAAACAAACGAATGAATAAATAAACACTAAAAAATATTAAATAATATAATAACAACATTAATTACTGCTTTAAAGGAGCCGGAAGAAGATTCTTATCCTAAACATCTCTTGCATAGGGCCCCCAACGGGGGGGCCCTCTGGGGGCCCCTTATCTTCTCTTTCTTGTCCTTCTTCTTTTTCTTCTTCTTCTCTCGTTTTTCTTTTGGTTATTTACATTAGAGAAGGTTATTTTGTTTGCTGTTGAGTGGAGCTATTGTTTAATATAATTTGTTCTTGTTTTTTCTAATCATATCCCTAGAAATTTAAGGTCTATAGACTCAGCAAGTTTATTATTGCTGCAGGAGGCCCTTCTCTAATCTCTCACAAAAGGAGTAGCACATTGCATGCGTTTATTATTCTTTATTTATTCTTGATTTGTTTGCTTCTTCTTTGTCTCGCATTCAGCTGGTGAAGGGGTTCTACACCAGAACAAAGGGCCCCTGAACAACAACAATCTTAGGGGCCTACCTCTCTGCTGCTGCTGCTGCTGCTGCTGCTGCTGCTGCTGCAGCTGGTGGTATTTTTGCTGCTGGTGCTGCTGGCTTTGCTGCTGCAGCCTTGTCCCCTGTTGCCCTGTCCCTTTTATTTATCTGTCTGTCTCTTTATGCATTTTGCTGTCTCCTCTCTTCCTGAAAGGCGATTCACTCCTTTGTGTTTATTTTTTCTGCATTTGTTGCTGCGTTTTTCTGTTTTATTTATTTTAATTTAACTGCTGCTTTTTAAAGCCCTTGCGGAGGACAGCGAAAAACGAAGAAGTTCTTCATCAGTGCATGCCCGCGCAGCAGCAGCAGCAGCAGCAGCAGCAGCAACAGCAGGAGCAACAGCAGCAACAGCAGGAGCAGCAGCAGCAACAACAGCAACAACAGCAGCAGCAGCAGCAGCTGCTGCTGCAGCTCGTCTCTTCTGTCTCTAACTCAGTCTCTAGGCATCAAAGCAGCAAAAATGAAGCAGAGAAATCCGGTAAGGAGATTTATTTAAAGACATAAATTAATTATAATTGAGGTGTACATACACCTCATGTCTCCAACAATGAAATGAGGGCTTCGTAGTAATCTTTTGCTGTTTTGTTTTTTTGTTTAAATATAATTTATTATTCCTTATAGAATAGTACAATGCTTTTTATTTATTTATTAATTTGTTTGTGTTTGTTTGTTTCTCTGTCTGTTCGTTTATTTGTTTCTATTAGGAAGACTATCCTTCTATAGACTCTCTGTTTATGCTTATTATAATTACTATTTATTTATTTATTTATTTATTATTAATTAATTAATTAATTAATTAATTAATTTATTTATTTGTTATTAGGAAGACTATCCTTCTATAGACTCTCTATTACAAGGCCTCGACTCGTCTTGCAATGAGGCGAGCGCCGGTGTAGAGGATGAGGTGTACGGACAGTATGCGTGGGAGAGAGAAGTTGATCGGTAAACCCTAAACCCTAAACCCTAAACCCTAGGACATTAAGAAAGCTTGAGATAATTCGTTTATCTTGATGTCTCTCTTCGTCTTCTGCTGTCTCCTGGTGTTCTTTGTTTGTCTCTGTTTGTCGTTGCTTGTCTTTGTTTTTCTGTCTCTCTTCTTTCTCCTCCCCCCTCTCTTTTGTGTCTCTCTCTCTCTCTGTCTCGTTTTGCCTTTGTGCAACTCTCTCGCTTTGTCTCTCTCTCTCTCTCTGTCTTTCTCTGCCTCTCTCTCTCTGTCTCTCTCTCTCTCAGTCTCTCTCTCTCTCTCTCTCTCTCAGTCTCTCTGTCTGTCTTTTAGTCTCTCTGTCTCTCTTTCTCTGTCTCTCTTTCTCTCCTTCACCGTCTCTGTCTCTTTGCCTTTTGCTGTCTCTCACTGTCTCTTTCTCTGCCTCTCACTGTCTCTGTCTCTGTCTCTCTTTCTGTCTGTCTCTGTCTCTCTTTCTGTCTGTCTCTGTCTCTTTATTTGCTGCTGTGTGTCTCCACCTAAATCAACACATCTTCATTTCTTTTGATTAACATCATCACCTCTATGCATGCATGCATGCAAAAGAATAAATGCATGCGCTTGCATGCATGCATTTTTTATTATTTTATTTATATTCTTACTCGTATTTTTATTATTATTCTTTTTCTTATTATTATTCTAATTCATCATCATCTTATTATTATTATTATTGTGATTATTCTTATTAACTATTATTATTATTATTATTATTATTATTATTATTATTATTATTGTTATTATTTTGCTGCAGCTCATGGGAGTGTCTCGTAGAGACAGAGGGACAGCTGCGGCTGGTAGGAGCAGCAGAAGGAGAAAGCGAAGAAAAACAAACAACTCCTCGAGTACCCCACATCAAAAGAGCCTTACTGAGGTACCCATACACACACCTGCTGCTGCTGTTGCTGCTGTTGCTGCTGCTGATGCTGATGCTGCTGCTGCTGCTGCTGCTGATGCTGCTGCTGATGCTGCTGCTGATGATGCTGCAACTGCTGTTACGGCGGCTGCTCTTGGTACTGCAGCTTTTGCTGTTGCTGTTGCTGCTGCTGCTGTTACTGCTGTTACTGTTGATGCTTATGCTGCTGCTGCTGTTATTGCTGGTGTTGCTGTTTGTGCTGTTGCTGCTATTGCTTCTGTTGCTGCCTCTCTTCCCGCTATTACTGCTGTTGCTGCTGTTGTTGTTGCTGCTGCTGCTACTAATGACGGATTTGCTGCAGCAGCAGGCTCTACTGCTGCTGCTGGTGTAATATATGTTTAATGCGTCTGCTTCTTTTTGAGGGTGTGGGTGGGTTTGAGGTGTACAGACACCTGGGGTTTGTTCGGGTGTCTGTATATATCATGTTGTGCTTCTTAGAGTGCTGTTATGTGAATAAAACATTATTGCATAAGTGTATATTAAAGAAGAAATTAAAAAGAAATATTCTTGTCAATGCATTTATATTCTCCTGAGTCAGAGGAAGAGGAAAACTCTGTTCAGGAGGTAACATGCATGCATGCAGGTATCTAGTGCTTCAGCATGCATGCATGCGTGCATGCATGCATGCATGCATGCATGGAGGGATCTGGTGCTTGTGCATGCATTTACTCAGGAGTTTAGTGATTGTGATTGATGCAACGGATGGCATGCGGGAAACCGACTTTAAGCCAGACCGTCTGACTTGCGCCACGCAGATGCTTGAGGTAGGGTTTTGGGTTTAGGGTTTAGGGTTTAGGGTTTAGGGTTTTTTGTAGCGTTGTATTAACGGGGCTTGCTTGCCTGCCCACAAGCATATAAGCATGCATGCATGCATGCATGCATGCTTGTGTGCTTGTTTGGGTTCACGCGTGCTTCTCTTGTTGTTTGCATGCATGCATGCATGCATGCATGGTTTTGCGTTTGCATGCATGTGTTTCTGGTTATTTGCATGCATGCATGCATGTGTTTCAGTGTGTTTGCATGCATGCATGCGCTTCTTTTTGTTTGCATGCAGGAGTTTCTTGCTTCATTTTTGCTGCAAAATCCTCTCGCTCGCATTGCGTTGGTATATATGGCGGAGGCTACAGCGGAGGTGTTGTGCCCTGCTGCAGCAGCAGCAGCAGCAGCAGCAGCAGACTCTTCTTCTTTGGGGCTGTCGAGCTCAATTAGTAACTTTGGTTTACTTGCACAAGGCACCTCCAGCTACTTTAGCAGCAATGTAGAGGAGCTCGTGAATGCATTAATAACAAGAAGAAGAAAAAGATTGCCTGCAGCTGCACACTCACCTTCACTTAAGAACGGATTAGATGTACGCTTTCCAGCTGCTGCTTCTGCTGCTTCTGCTGCTGCTGCTGCTGCTGCTGATGTTAATGCTGCTGCTGCCGGTGCCGCTGCTAGCGCTGCTGTTGATACTGCTGCTCGTGCTGGTGCTGGTGGTGGCGGTGGTGTTACTGCTGCTGTTGCTGCTGCTGCTGATGCAGCTGATGGTGCTGTTCTGCTGTTGCTGTGGGTGGTGTTGCTGCTCCGTGCGTCACTAAAGGGTCTTGCTGCTGCTGTCCTTGCTGCTGCTGCTGCCCTTGCTGCTGCTGCTCCTGCAAAGTCTGCATGCACGAATGCATGCATGGATGTTATAAAGCCAACACGGATTCTTTTTGTATTGCTTTAGAGTGTGTTATTTGGTGGGGTTGTTCTTATTGATGCGCCTCCTGGTGTTCTCTTATTTGGTGGGGTTGTTGTTATTGTCCTTGTCTGTGGCTTCATATTCTTTTCCTGTTGTATGTAAGGTGGGGTTGTTGTTATTATTGCTTTTACTATGGTTGTTATTATTATTACTATTGTATGCTGTATGTATGGTGGGGTCATTATTGTTACTACTCTGTGTTGTATGTAAGGTGGGGTTGTTGTTATTATTATTGATTGCCTATATGGTGGGGTTGTTGTTACTGTGTGCTGTATGTAAGGTGGGGTTGTTGTTATTATTGTTGATTGCCTATATGGTGGGGTTGTTGTTATTGTGTGCTGTATGTAAGGTGGTGTTGTTGCAATTATTGCGCACTGTCTATCTGGTGGGTTTATTATTACTATTGTGCATTGTCTATATGGTGGGGTTGTTGTTATTATTCTTTAATGCAGAGAGCGCGCGCACTGCTGGGTGCTGTACCCCCTTACTGCACGCGGGAGGTGTTGGTAGTCTTCGGCTCCATTCGCACTTGTGATGTGGGGTGAGAAGACCTGCTGCTGCTGTTGCTGCTGCTGCTGCTGCTGCGCTGCTGCAGCTGCAAAGCCTACAGCTCCTTTGCTGGCATGCTGCTCCTGCCTCCATGCATGCATGCTCGCATGCATGCATGCATGCATGCTCGTATGCATGCGTGCATGCATGCATGCATGCTGCCAATCTTCTCCTTTACACCCGAGGTCCGGGACATACGTTTTAGGGTTTAGGGTTTAGGGTTTAGGGTTTGTGTGTTTCAGGAGCATAGAGGATTCAATTGGAGAGTTAAAAAGCATCAAGGCTCGCTGCTCTGTTGTTAGTCTCTCACCGGAGGTGCGGATTGTAAAGGTAAGAAAAATATAAAACAAAACAACATAACAACTGCAGCAAGCGCTCACCCTTCTCGGGCCCCCATGCATCTTAGCTCTGAGGGTTTAGGGTTTAGGGTTTAGGGTTTAGGGATTAGGGTATAGAGGTTATTTCGAGCTGCCGGGGGCCCCCCCTATGAAGGGAGCTTTGCTTGCATGCATGAATGGAGCTCTGCATGCATGCATGCATGCCCCGTTTGCATTCATACATGCATGCATGCTGAAGGTTTGTCTTTGTTTATTTGCCTCAGACACTCGCCACTCAAACTGAAGGCACCTTTGGAGTTGCGTTGCATGCAGATCATCTTCGTTCTTTGCTGATGCAGCACACGCAGCCTCCTGCTTGGTGGGTGTGGGGTCTGCTTGTGGGGACCTGCCTGTACACCTCAGCTTGCATGCACGCAACTGAGGTGTATGGGCAGCATCTCTCCACTGCATGGGGAACAGCAGAGCAGCGTGATTTGTTTAATGCGGATTTGAGCTGCTGCGTGTTGTCTCTGTCTCTGTTTTCGCTTCTCCTTCGGGGTGTATTAACATCTCCGTGCCTGTCTCTCTATGTGGGTTTGTGTGTCTCTATCTCTTTCTCTATCTCTGTCTCTATCTCTATCTCTGTCTCTGTCTCTGTCTCTATATCTCTGTCTCTATATCTCTATCTCTATCTCTATCTCTATCTCTATCTCTATCTCTATCTCTATCTGTCCCCTTTATCTTTTTTTATTTTTTATGACTTTGTCTATCTATCTGTCTCTCTCTCTCTCTTTCATGCCTTTCTTTGTTCTGTCTCTGTTTTCATCTTTATGTTTATTACGTTTAGGCTGGGGGGCCTGCAGCCCTGTTTAATTCGTGTGGGCTTCCCTCCTTATAAGGAGTCGTCGACTGCTGCTCTCTGTTGCTGTCACTCTCTACCTCGTTTTAAGGCTTTTACCTGTCCCCTCTGCAGCGCCAAACTCTGCGATGTACCCTGCACCTGTCTTGTACGTATATACAATATATATATATATGTATATAGATTTAGATATCTATATATCTATATATATATATATCTATGCGTATGTATGTATATATAAGTGGGTTTTTATGCATATGTATGTGTGTGTATATATAACTAAATGTGTTTGTATGTGTACTTATATATATTTGTATTTATACATATGCATATAAATCTGTATATATGTATCTATATATATAATAGATATAATATATATATATATATATATATTATATACTGTGGGCATATATATTTATAAATACACAAAAATATATAGATGTATTTCTATAGATGCCTATGCATATATAGGTACATGCATGCTTATGCTTACATATATGCATATATATATGTATATACATGTACATAAATACCTATACATATATATATATATATATCTATATATATATATATATCTATATACTATATATATATATATATTCATGCATGCATTTATTAGTGTACATTTATACACAAGTATGTTTATGTGTACAACAAAATAATATTTATATATTTAATACTCCAACGCGCAAATGCCACATCATCTCTGGGCCCCCCCCTTAGGCCCCTTTACAGGCCCGTAGGGGGCCCCCCTTTAGGCCCCCTTACACTTCCTTTAATACGGCCTCCTTACAGTTCCCTTGGGGGCCCGCTTGGGGGCCCCCAAGGTCCCCAGCGAGCCCCTTTTGAAGCCCCGCTGGGGCCCCCTTGATTCACTCTTAACCCCGTTTTGGGGCCCCCTTGGGGCCCCCTTTGGGGCCCTCGTGGGGCCCCCCTTTGGGGCCCTCTTGGGGCCCCCTTGGGGCCCTTAAAGGGGCCTTTGGGGGCCCCCTCTGATGGATGCATGCAGAATGCATGCAGTTGATCAGGGGTGATGGGCTCAGGAAGGTGTGGGTTTGTAGGTTTGCTGTGTTGTTGTTGCTGTTGCTGCTGCTACTCTTACTACTACTGTTGCTGTTGTTGCTGCTGCTGCTGCTGTTTGGTTTTGCTGCAGTGCTGCTCGCTGCACCTGCTGTCTCCTGCTGATGTCTCTCGGTCTTTTCACAGTCTCTGTTTGCCTGAGCCCTTTGAAGTCGTGAGTATATAGCAAAAGGGACTGTCTCCTTTTCGCTTGTTTGTTTATTGTTGTTTGTATCTTTTATTTGTTTGTTGTTTGCTGCTAATCTCTTTATTTATTTATTTGTTTGTTTGTTTATTTATTGTTTGTGTGCTTGCATTCGTCTCTAGGTTTCTGTTGTTGAAGCCCTGAACCCTAAACCCTATAATTCTAAAACCCTAAACCCTAAACCCTAAAACCTTAAACTGTAGTGTATTCATGAGAGCAGACAGGGGACAGTGTCTCCTTCAAGTACCTTCGAGTGTCTGTGGAGCTGCTGCTGCTGCTGCTGTTGCTGCTGCTGCTGCTGCAGGTAAAGAAACCGCCGAAAGACGCCAAGTGCTGCTGCTGCAACTGGCCTCTTGAGAAAGGTCTGCTGCCCCCACACGTCCCCTGCTGCTGTTGCTGCTGTTCATGCTGCTGTTGCTGTTGCTGTTGCTGTTGCTGTTGCTGTTGTTGCTGCTGCTGCACCTAAAATGAGAAGCGGCCGTCTTCTTTACGCCTTCTCCACAGCTGCTCACTTGGACCTCAGCAGCAGCAACAACAGCCACATCAGCTGCTGCAGCAACAGCAGCAGCAGCAGCAGAAGACCCAACTGCGTGGTGTGTGTCTGCAGCTTCGAGATGCCCCGAGTGCCGCAACATTTTCTGCAGGTAACGAGGAGAGCTTGGGTTTACTAGGGCTTAATAGGATTTATTAGGGTTTGCTATGGAATATTAGGGTTTGCTAGGGTTTGCTAGGGTTTGTTAGGGTTTGTTAGGGTTTATATATTGGGGTTCATTAGGGTTCATTAGGGCTATTTAGGGTTTACTAGGGTTTAATTAGATTATTAGGGTTTATTACTGCTAATTAGGGCACATCACGAATTGTTTGTGTAGTGTAGGGTTTATTAGCTTGTATTCTTGTTTACTAGGGGCTTTTATGGTTTACTAGGGTTTATTATGGTTTATAAGGGTTTATAAGGGTTTATAAGGGTTTATTAGGGTTTATTAGGCTTTAAAAGGGTTTAGTAGGATGTACAAGGGTTCAAAAGGGTTTATTAGGGTTTGTGAGGGTTTACTGGGGTTTGTGAGGGTTTACTAGGGTTTATGAGGGTTTATTAGGGTTTATGAGGGTTTATTAGGGTTTATGAGGGTTTATTAGGGTTTATGAGGGTTTACTAGGGTTTGTGAGGGTTTACTAGGGTTTGTGAGGGTTTACTAGGGTTTATGAGGGTTTATTAGGGTTTGTGGTTTGTGTGCAGAGAGTGCGACGTCTTTAGTCACGAACAGCTGCGGCACTGCCCTTTCTGCGTAATGAAAGACATCAACAGTATTCATAACACGCAAGACAAACCCCAAACCTCCGTAGACACCCCAGCACCTGCTCCTAAACCCTCTCATCAGCCTTGATCTCCTCTTCCTTCTCCTGCTGCGGCTGCTACACACCCTACAGAGGTGTCTATACACCTTAGAGGGGTGACTATACACCTCAGAGAGGTGCCTATATACACCTCAGAGAGGTGTATAGGCAGCCCCACAGCAGGATCTACACTGACAGTGAGAAGTAAAAGTGTTTGGGGCCCTCAGGCCTTCTCGTGTTGGCGCAGAGGTTGCCCAGCCACTGTCACATGCATGCATTTGCATGCATGAATGCAAATGCATGCAAATGCATGCAAATGCATGCAAATGCATGCAAATGCATGCAAATGCATGCTTGCAAGCATATTTGCATGCATATTTGCATGCATGCATGTTTGCTTGCATGCAAGCAAGCTTGCAAGCCGTGCATGCATGCATGCGCCTGCCTGCTTGCATGCAGCCCGTTGGGGCTGGCGTATTGTTTGTTTGGGAGATGTCTCCTGAAGCAGAGTTTTGTTTGCCTTTCTGCAAGTTAGTGGGGCCCTCAACAGCAGCGCACGCAAAGCAAATACAATAATATATATGTATACATTTATTATTATTATTCTATATGTATGTCTATATATATATATATATCAGCAGCAAAACAAACTGCTACTGTGGTGGACTACACCGCAACAACACCATTGCAACAGAAATAATAAAAAAAAGAGGGGCAAAGACAGCAGCAGAAGAGACAGCAGAGACAAAGAAGGAGACAAAAATCTACAGCACTATAGGCACCTAGTCCGCCACTCCTTTGCCGTATGCATGCATGCACATTTGCATGCATGCAGCCCCAAAATAAACAACTTGTGCTGCGGATGCAGGGAAAGGCTGCTGGTGAAAAGGCCCCCAGTGCCTCTGCTGTCTGTTCTCTGCTGCAAGGAAATAGAAAACCCAACTAACTATCTTGGGGCTCCTTAAGGTCCCCGCATGCATGCATGCATGTATTTATGCATGCATGCATGCATGCATGCAACATGAGAGGGTTTTGCAGGTGTCCGTACACCTGGAGTATTCTCTCTTGGCTCTCTGCCTCAGAGAGATTTGATGCTGCTTGTTGCGGGTGCAGCGCTGATTTGTTTTTTGTTTACTCTACTGTCTCCTTTATGATGTCTCCTTTATGCTGTCTCCTCTATGCTGTCTCCCCCAAGGGGCTATCTGCTGTTTAGCAGTTGTCTCTCTCTCCTCTTTTTCAGGTCCCTAAGCTGTCTCGTCTCTTTTTGCATGCATTTGCCTATCTGAAGCTGCAGCTGTCTCTACATCTATATCTATATATCTATATCTATATCTATATATCTATATATCTATAACTATCTATATATATTTGCGTCTCTGTTATAATTGATGCATCCATAATATAAAGCCGTTTATAATAAACGAACGGAAACAAAAGAAAGAAAAGTGCATGCAGGACCTCTCAGGGCTGTCAAGGGTTTAGGGTTTAGGGTTTAAGGGTCTCCTATTGTCTCCCTTGTTGCAGCCCCGCACTCGCCCTGGGTGTCTCCTTCATCAAAGGAGACTCCTCCTAAAACTAAACCCCATCACCCACCAACAAGAGACACTTCCGTGCTGCATGCAACAAACTGCATGCATCAATCCACAGCCCCAAAAAAGCAGCCCCAAACCTGTACCCTCATATTACTCACCAACAGCCCCCACGGAGCCCCCAAAGGGCCCCCTAGGGGCCCCTAAAAGGCCCCCCAGGGGCCCCCAAAGGGCCCCCTAGGGGCCCCTAAAAAACCCCCAAGAGGCCCCCAAAGGGCCCCCTAGGGGCCTTTAAAAGGCCCCCAAGGGCCCCCTAAGGGCCTCCACGGGGCTCCCGAAAGGCCCTCACGGGGCCCCCAAAGGGATCCCATAAAGGGCCCTCGAGGGGCCCCCAGGGGGCCCCAGAGAGCCTCCATCAAACACCCCAGGGGCCCCACAAGGAACCCCAAGAGGCCCCCTTAGAGGCCCCTGAGGGCCCCACCTTTAACTACGGCGAGCTTATAAAGGGGCAGCAGAGGAGAGAGGTGTCTGTACACCCGGAGAGAGCGATAAAGCAGAGACAAGAAGACTCTCAAACAGCGGCACCTGCAGCAGACAAAACCAGAACACAACAGTTCCCCATGCTAGCTGCTGCTGCTGCTTCTGCTGCTGCTGCTGCTGCTGCTGCTGTTGCCTGTTTGTGTTTATGCTGTTGCTTGATTCGGTTTCCGTTGCTGCTGTCTGTTTTTGTCTCTGTTGCTGCTGCTGTTGCTGTTGCTGCTGTTGCCGCTGCTGCTGCTGCTGCTGCTGCTGCCTCACCAGTGCTGCTGCGTCTGTGCGTATTGCTGCTTTAACTGTTCTTTGATCGTTCATAAGGGAGACCTCCAGCAGCACCAAGAGGTTGTTTACAGTAACCGCGGAGAAGTACATTGCACTCTAAAGGCAGACAAAAACAAACAAAAACAAAAAAAGGAGACACTGCATGCATTAGAGAAGACAAAGAGACACCTAAAATATACCCACATGCACCCGTTTAACACACAGCAGCAGCAGCAGCAGCAGCAGCAACCGCAGCAGCAGCAGGTGTCTCCTTTGTCAGGTGTTGGGGTGTCTGTACATCTTAGCAATCTGCGCCCAGCAGCCGCAGAGGCTATGAAAAAAAAAGAGCGAAGAAATAGATAAATAAACAAACAAAACAAACAAACAAAGCAAGCAAACAAACAAAACAAAGAAAGAGATAAGAAGAAGCGAGAAAGAAGACGATATAGACAAACAAACAAACAAACAAATAAAGAAGACAGAAAGAAAGAAGAGAAAAACAAACAAACAAAAGATATAAACAAGCAAACAAACAAATAAAAAAGAAAGCAAAACAAACAAACAAACTAAAGAAGAAAGAAACAAAGACGGTAGCAAGAACAATACTTAGACAAACAAACAAACAAACAAACAAACAAACAAACAAACAAAAGATAAGAAAGAAATAAAGAAAGTCTCACGAAGGAGTCTGCAGCGCGCTGCGCTACGAGGTAAAGACGATGAGGCCTCAGAGTATTTATTGTCTCCTCTCTGGTTAATGTCTTTGCAGACACCCCACCCATACATCCCTGCAGCACAAAGGAGACAGCAGAAAACATCAAAATCTAATAAAAAACAAAGACATAAAAACAAACAATTGCATGCATGCACATACACCACACACTACCCTGTACATACACCCCAAAATAAAACCTCCTAAACGAATACAAATCCACAACCAGCCCCAAAGCAGCCAAACGCATGCATGCATACGTTGCATGCAAGTAAAGCGCATGCATGCATGCTTGCATGCATGCATACATGCATGCATGCATACATGCATGCATGCATGCGTTTTTGGGGCTTTACCTGTTTTGCTTCGCCGAGTGTCTGCCACTGCTGGCGAAAGAGTTCTTTATGAATTGGTCCCGACTCCTCCAACACGTCAGAAAGAGAGTAAGGGACAGCAAAATAAAATATGTCCAGAGAACTCTTCACCGCCATCTGATTGCAGCAGCAGCAGCAGCAGCAGCAGCAGCAGCAAGAGCAGCAGCAGCAAGTGCAGCAGCAGCAAGTGTAGCAAAAGCAGCAGCAGCAAGAGGAGCAGCAGCAAGAGAAGCAGCAGCAATGGGAGCAGCACATGTAAACATCGGAGTTTATTAATTGTATAGAGACACTCTCTATAACAACCCCACCTAATAAACACACAAAGCCCCGAGACTTGCATGCTGCATGCAACCCCAACGCAATGCACCCAACTAAACAAAAAGACAAACACTAAAGCAAACAATAACAACAAAAACAAACATAAAACTCTATCTTCAAACCCTTAGGGGGCCCCATCACCTCAGGGGCCCCCTCCACCCCCAGCTAAGCAGCTGCCGAGGACCTCAACAGCAGCAACAGCAGCAGCTGCAGCAGCAAAGTCAACAGCAACAGCAATAGTAACAGCAGCAGCAACAGCAGCCGAAACGTAGCAACGAGGTCAGCTACACCGGCAGCAGAAACAGCAGCAGTAGCAGCAGGAGCAGCAGCGTTTGTTGCTGCATTTGTTTATGTTGCAGCACCTGAATGAAGAGAGGAGGAGACGGGGGCATATTAGAGTTTAGTTTATTTGCTACAACCGGCAGAGTTGTCTCTGCGGAGACACCTGGAGGGATTGAGGAGAGGCTAAGAGGGGCCCCCGGGGCGAGCCCAAACGAGTTTTTATTAAATTGAATTGCAAGACCTGTTAAGGGGGCCCCTGTTCTGTTTGTTGCTGTTAGGTGCAGCTGCAGAGTACCTGAAAATAATATATAATAAACCCTAAACCCCAAACCCTAAACCCTACTGGATCATCAGGCTGAAGAATAAAGGAGACAGAAGCAGCCTCATGCCCCCATATGCAAGAATGCATGCAAAAATCAATAAACAGCAAACCCTAAACCCCAAACCCTAAACCCTAAACCCTAAAAATTAAGAAGAAAGAGACAGAAGAAACTACACACCCCTACAAGGGAGAATGCATGCAGCAGCAACTGAGCGCACCTCCTCTGCCTTATGCCTGACGATACATTAGGGTTTAGGGTTTAGGGTTTATTGTCTTACCCCCTTCGGGCTTATGAAAAGCAGCATGAATCTCAAGACCCCGCTGCTGCTGCGCCCCTGCAGTGTCTGCCGACAAAACCAACAATCGCTGCACGGGGCTCCCCGTCTGCATGCAAGCAGCAAAGAAAAACAAAGCATACAAACTCAACAACAAATTCAGATGCAGCTGCTGCAGCAATTGCAGCAGCAGCAGATGGTGCAGCAGCAGCAGCAGTAGCAGCAGCAGTAGCAGCAGCAGCAGCGGCTGTAGCAGCAGCAGGGTTAACTTACAGCAGAGGAAGCAGAGACGGATGTATCGCTCAAATCCAGCAGATCAACGGGGCCCTCTTCGCTGCTTCTGTACACAACATCAAACCGCAAACAAGTAAATTAATGCGTGCAATTGCATGCATGCATGCATTTGCATGCAAGCATCTGCATGCATGCAAACATCCTTCCTGCCTTGCAATGGAAGGCACAGCTTCCGCTGCTGCGCCCCCGCATGCATGCATGCATTATCTGCATGCATGCATCTGCATGCATGCAGCCGGGGGGCTGGAAGGGCCTTTTGCGAGAGCCCTTTGCAGCAGGAAAATTGGGGCTTGAACTGAAAGCCGAGCTGGTGAGGGTTTAGGGTTTAGGGTTTAGTGTTAATTTGAGGGTTTAGGGTTTATTATATGGGAGAGGCTGACGTGTCGGTATCTGAGAGGGCGCTTCTGCTTCTGCTTCTGCTGCTGCTGCTGCTGCTGCGTGCTGAGGTGCGTTGCTGTTGTTGCTGCTGTTGCTGTTGCTGCTGCTGTTCAAGCGCCTTTCTAGCTCTCTCTACGACCTGTTGCTGCGGCTCATCTAAAGAAGATTGAGGCCCCAAGGAGGGGCCCCAGGGGCCCCCCATCGCACTCTTCTCGCTGTCTCTTCTGCCGGGTGCTGCTGCTGTACGCATGCGCGTTACAAATGTCTCAGGTAGTTTATGATAGACAGAGGCCACCATAGAAATGTTTCCTGCAAAAGAAGCAGCAAATCAAACAAAAAAAGATATATATCTAATAAAAGCCTCATCTAAGATTAAAGAGATTAAAAGATATATATATATATATGGATATATAACATCATACCACAATACATATGCATCCACTTGCATGCAAACATATTTGCTTGCTTGCATGCATGCATTCATAGTCTAATCGTAACAATAATAATAATAGTAAATTATTAAATAACGAATAAACAAATACAAGAAAATTTAACAAATTTAAATAGCATTGATGGTTTTATAATGTATTTGTGCATGCAATGATATATGCATAGCTCAGTGCATACACAAACAATTCATTCACACAAATAAACAAATAAATAAATAAATAAATAAATAAATAAATAAATAAATACCGATGAGAGCAGCAAGAGTCTCTGCATCGAGCTCTTCTCCCTCTGCATGCACTTCAGGCATTGCGCTGAACACAACTCTTCGCGTCGCCTCCGGGTTCTTAGACAGCATTCGCCAGTATAAAAACGCTGAAACAACACATCAAAACATGCATGCATGCATACATTTGAATGCATGCATGCACCGCCATGCATGCATACATTTGCATGCATGCATGCATTTGCATGCATACATTTGCATGCATGCATTTGCATGCGACTCCCTGCCTTTGCATGCAAATGGCTTTGCATGGGTTTGCATGCACTGTTGGTGAAGTAGAGTGTATGTTGTTGAAAAATAAATAGCAATACCTCTGTCAATAACATCGGGGCTGTCTGCATCTTCTGTTGCTTTTTTAAGGAGACAAGTAATTTGCTGCTGATGTCTTTGGGGCTGCAAAAGAAACAACTTTACTGCTGCTGTCAGGATGCACAGCTGCACTGCGGGTGTCTCCTCTAAAAACGAATCAATGAATGAAGCAAAGACACCGGATGCATCGGGTATATGCTCGCTGTACTGTCCTGATATATAACAAACAAACAAACAAACAAACAAACAAACAAATAAACAAATAAAAAACAAATAGACAAATAAACGTACAAATGAACAAACAAACGAACAAACAAATATACAAATATACAAATAAACAAATAAATAAATGAACAAACAAACAAATAAACAAACGAACAAGCACACACATACACACATAAACATACATTTATATATATATATATATATTTATATATATACACCTACATACATTGAGATATGCATGCAAGCATAAGGGTTTGCATGCATCTATATATATACATATATATATATATATATTTAGATGTATATACATATATATATACATCTATATATATATATATATATATAGATATAACCTTATCTCACCGCAAATCCAAACAAAAGCAGCTCTTGCTTCAGGTTCGTCGATCAAATGTTGTGCATTGCACAGAGCCACCACTGCAGCCCCATAGTCTCCTGAGAATTTCCTGCATATGTAGCAGCAGCAACATGCATGCATGCAGAGACACTTCAAACAAATACACCAGCATATAGTTAGGGTTTATCAGGGTTTAGCAAATGCCGCTAGTTAGGGTTTATTGCGGTTTATGCTCGCATTTATTAGTGGGGTGTGAGGGTTTCCGGTCTAGGGTTTAGGGTTTAGGGTTGTGGTTTAGTAGAGTTTAATAGGGTTTAGGGTTTAATAGCGTTAATTAGGGTTTATTAGGGTTTAGGGTTAATTAGGGTTTATTTGGGTTCGTTAGAAATTATTCGGGTTTATAAGGAGTGTTCAGTATATGTTATTAGGGTTTAGGGTTTATTAGGGTTTAGGGTTTGGACTTATTAGCGGCTTTTAAAGGGCTTTAAAGGGTTTATAAGGGTTTAAAGAAGGGTTTAAGAGGGTTTATAAAAGGGTCAATACATGGAGTGATGCACGAGGGTTTATAAGGGTTAATAAGGGTTTACAAGAGTTTAAAAGGGTTTATTAGGGTTTGAAAAGGCTTACAAGGGTTTATAAGGATTTAAAAGGGTTTAAAGGGGTTTACAAAAGGGTTTATTAGGGTTTCAAAGGGTTTACTAGGGTTTATAAGGGTTTATAAGGGTTTATAAAAGGGTTAATAAGGGTTTATTAATGTTTAAAAGGCTTTATTAGGGTTTACAAGGGTTTACTAGGGTTTGTAAGGGTTTAAAATGGTGTATAGGGGTTTAAAAGGGTTTATAAAAGGGTTTATAAAAGGGTTTATAAGGGTTTATTACCTGAAGATATCTCTGAATGCAACAGCACATTCCTGGACGACGAAGGGAACTTGTCGCGATATTAAATCGAGCAGAATTTGCATGCAGCGATCCAAAGCCCCATGCAAGCGCATGCAAATAGAAGAAAGTGCTCGAATAGCTCTTCTAGCCATTTCATAGTCTACGTCTTGTGCATATTCTCGTAGTTCTGCTAATACCTGCATATACACCCCAATTTAAAAGAAACAGACAAATAAATATTTAACTAGTATTTAGAAATATTATTACTATTGTATTTATTTTTGTCTTATTATTCGTATTAAAATCATTACTTTTATTATTAATATCATCACTGTAATAATTATTATTCACATGCATGCATGCATGCATAGATATATACGCTTAAATACAGCTGCATGCATGCATGCATATATACACTTACATACAGGTACATGCATGCATTTATGCATGCATATATGTAAGTGTATATATGCATGCATGCATGCATATATACACTTACAAACAGGTACATGCATGCATGTATGCATGCATATATATATATATATATATATATATATATAATACTACACTATACACTTAAATACGGCTAAATGCATGCATGCATGCATGCATACAGCCGCATGCATGCATGCATGCATGCATGCATGGGGTGTGGTGTCTGACTGCATCAAGGTTGCGTTCGGAGGCGAGGCGAACGAGTACATCCAATTTTTCAATTTTAATAAACAGGGGGTCGTTAAACTTGCAGAAGAACATCTGCAGCAAAAGAGAGACAGATAAAGGAGACAGTAAAAGACATAACTTTATAAAAGGAGACACAAACATAATAATAAAAGGAGACATACATAAAAGAATTAAGGCGGAGACACAAACAGAATAATAGAAGGAGACATCAACATAATAAAAGAAGACATAAATATAATAAAAGGAGACACAAACACAGTAAATGATATAAACAGAATAAGCAGAGATGCAAACAAAAGCAGGAAAAAAAAGGAGACAACAGAAGACAGACACAAACATGAAAGAGACAGAAGCATGCAAAAGAGAGACACAAACATACATACACCTCAACCCCACGCCGCTAAAGGTGCCTATACACATGAAAGCAGCAGCAACTGCAGCAATCGTACTAACAACAAAAAAGAGCAGTAGCAGCAGCAGCAACAGCACCACCACCGCAGCCACAGCAGCAGCACCGAAACAGCAGCACCTACAGCAGCAGCAGCAGCAGCAGCAGCAGCAGCAGCAGCAGCAGCAGCAGCAGCAGCAACAGCAGCAGCAGAACGAGGGGATGTCTTGCCTTGACTTCATTTGCTAGGATAGAAGGCCTGCGTCTAACAATTAATTGAATATTGCGAAGAACAACATACTGCAGCTCGGGCTCAGCAGACAGCAGAGTAACCAAAGGAGGGCACAGCTTTCGATGCGCTGTCGCTATCACGTCCGGGTTCGATACCCTGCAAAACAAATATATATATTAAATATAATTATATATATAATTATATATTTAAATATATATATATCTATATATATATCTATATATTCATTATGTTATTATTATATATAATAATATAAGATAGGCATTTTATACGCAATACATCGACAATACGAACGATGTTAATAAATACATCGTTCGTATTGTCGAAGTATTGTATTAAATATATATATATATATATATATATGTATACAAGATATATATATATATATATATATACATATATATATATATATATAAATGCATACATATAAAACGCATATGAGTATATATATATATATATGAGAGGTTGTACATCACTTCAGCCTTCAAAGCCCCTCAAAAGAAATCGTGAAGAGAAAAAATAATTAATAGAGAAAGTAGGGTATGTACAGTATAATAATATTAATATAATATAAAAATAATATAGTATAAGATATATAATATAATATATAATATAATCTATAATATAATGTATAATATAATATTCGTGTATAATAGATAAACGACAACTATTACAACGAAGAGACAAACAAAGTCAAGAAAGATGAAGAAACCCCCTCAGCAACGAGGACAGCAAAAAGGAGACAGACACCGCAAGAATAAAGAGACAAAAAAAGTAAAAGAAGAGAGATAGGTAAGGAGACAGAGACTGAAAAGGAGAGACAGCAGTGTACAGGGAGACAGAAAAAAAGAAAGAAGAGGCAATAGAAGAGGAGACAGAAAGGAGACAAACAACAAGAGACAGCAAACATAAGCAGCAAATACTTACTTGTCTAACAGCTTCATAATAACCTTAACAGCCGAGAGTACAACTGCAAAGAGCAAGGAAAACAAACAAAAGAAATATGTCTGTCTCCAAGCAGAGACAAAAACAAAAAAAGAGACAGATAAAACACTCAAGTGCAGCAGCAACCACACAAACAAAGACAGAAGAAATCAAAAGGAGATAGAGCGAGAGAGAGGGGGAGACAGAAGGAGACAAACGAAGCCAGAGGAAGAGACAGAAGGAGACAGAAAGAAAAAAGGAGACAGACAGAGTTGGAGACAGAAAGAGACAGAGCAGGAGACAGAAACAGACAGAGAAAGAGACAAAGGAAGCGAAAGACTAGCAGACAGAAAGAGACAGAGAATGAGACAAAGGAGGAGACAGAGGGAAGGAGACAAAGGGGGACAGAGGAGGAGACAGGAGGAGACAGAAAGAGACAGGAGGAGACAGAGGAGGAGACAAAGGAGACAGAGGAGACAGAAAGGCTGGTGTCAATACCTGCTGGATTTGCATGCGATAGTCTTGCAGTTATTCTTTCTATAACTGACTCCGCTACTCGCGAAGAAGGCGGTTCAAAGTTTATTAGAGCATCGAGAACAAACACCTGACCCCACCTGCACGTACACCCCAAGGAGACAGACAGAGAGAAGACAAATATTTGTATCTAGACGTAATACACACACAGAGGCTTCTATCAAACAAACAGGAGACACAGGAAAGAAGAAAGGAGACAGATATACATATTATATATATTATATATATTATATATATTATATATATTATATATATTATATATATTATATATATTATATATATGCAGACATCTGAAAAAGGAATGAATAAAACAAATATAGGAGACAAAGAGACAGGGAAAGAGACAGAAAAAACAGAGAGGGACTCAAGGAGACAGAAGAATGCGAGAGGAGACAGAAGGAGATAAGAGACAGCAGGAGGTAAGAGCAGGTAAGACACACACACTAAGAGAGATGAGGAGACAAAAGGAGACAGAAGGAGACAAAAGGAGACAGAGAAGGAGACGAGGGGAGACAGACGAGAAGAAACAGAGGAGGAGACAGGAGACAAAAGGAGGGACACAGAAAGAGACAGTGAAGGAGACAGGCGGAGACAAGAAGAGACAGAAGAAGACAAAAGGAGACAAAGGGAGACAGTGAAGGAGACAGAGGAAGACAGGAGGAGACAGGAGGAGACATAGAAGGAGACAGGCGGAGA